CGCCCCCTCCCCGCCCCCCCCCCCCAGCCTGCCTAGTCCCCTAACCCACTCCCAAGGAATTGCTAAGTGGCTGCCACAGGTCAGGCTGCGGACGGCCAACAGCCACAGCGGTGTGCCGGTGGGCCTGGCCCTGGCCGTTAGGCCACAGCAGGGCACAAAGCCTTCGGGTTAACTTGACAGAGAAAAGGGAAAACTACTGGTCCAAACTGAGACATCAGACCACAGGACACTTTTTGCAATCTTTCAAAGTCGACTTGACTTTACTGTCTCCACTGTCCACATCTTACTTCCCTCGGGAGTTCAGAGAGACGTGGGAACAACTACCAAGCAGGGCAGGCACAGCGAGTTGGCTGGGCTGGTGACCACTGCAAGGGTCAGACCCGGCCTGGCAGGAGGCAGACAGCGCACGCAGGGACGGCAGGAGGCCCACGAGAGCTCTTGCCTCGTCCTTCCCAGTGCCTGGACCAGGCACTCCAGCGGGGCCTCACTCAGGAGCCACCCAAGATGCCACGCACCCTGCGCTGCAACTGTCCAGGCCGAGAACCCCGCCCTCTCTGGAAACGCGCCCAGGAGGCCAGTGGCTTGCCAGGCTGCAGCTCCATGTCACCAAATGCCACGACCCCTTGTCAGGGCGATGCTCAGGTGGCCCCATGGGCTGGGAGGCGACAGCCATGCTGGTCTTCAGTCCCTACTACTTTGGAGACGTTTGCTACAGTTTCTGTATTTTATTTCAGAATTTTCTTTTAAAAGTTGCATTTCTGGGAGCCAGCAGGTGGCGCGGTGGTTAAGGCACTGGATTCCACACGGCTGACCATGGTCCAAGTCCTGGACCTGGCAGCTTGAGAATCACGCTGGGTGCGTGTGTGTGCGTGCGCAAAATCCCGAGAGGACGGAGGAGGAGGTGCTGCAGCGCGGCCATGCCCCAGGGGCCATTCCTCACTTTCTCTCTCTCTGACTCTCTTCAGCAAGTGCCTGCACCCTCTGGCAAAAACCGAGAATAAAAGTTGCCTTTTTCCCATTTGCCCTTGTTGAGACACCTCCTTAACTCTGAAGCTCTGCTGACAAGCATGTCCAGGGACACAATCCACAGGATGTAGCCCCACCGTGTGCCTGAGGAAGCTACAGCCAATGCATTTTGGTGGCAGAGTGGCCTTTCCTTAGGCTGACCCTGTGTCCCCTGTTGGCAGGAGGTGTAAGACATCTTCTGAGGTTGGCCTTTCCCCAACGGCCCAGCCCCAGGAGAATACGGGTCCCTATCCCATCCTGTCTAGCTACACTGAGCCTCCTAGAAGGTGTTCCATGTCCCTGGGGCCTGAGAAGGCCAAAGCAGGACCTGAGGACCCCATCCTGCCTCTGGGTGGGACGTAGGTGAGAAGAGAAGCAACAGTGAGGCTGCCATGCTCCCGACAGCCACGAGCGGGCACCCTCCCCGTGCTCCAGACGGCTGCAAGTGGGCACCCTCCTCGTCCTCCCAAGGGCCGTGAGCAGGCACCCTCCCCATGCTCCCAAGGGCCGTGAGCAGGCACCCTCCTCCTGTCTTCCCAACGGCTGTGAATGGGCACCCCCCTCCTGTCCTCCCGACGGCTGTGAGCGGGCACCCTCCCCGTGCTCCCAAGGGCTGTGAGCGGGCACCCTCTCCGTGTTCCCGACGGCCGTGAGTGGGCACCCCCCCTGTGCTCCCGACGGCCGTGAGAGGGCACCCCCCTGTGCTCCCGACGGCTGTGAGTGGGCACCCCCCTCCTGTCCTCCCGACGGCCGTGAGCGGGCACCCTCCCCATGCTCCCTAAGAAGTATGGTGCCTTCCAGGAGCTGCTCCACTCCATCAGGAGTACCGACACTTCCCAGTCCCGGGCTCATGTGCCACACCCCCAGTCCTGGACTCCAGCCCCAACACACCTATCGTAAGGCCATTTTGTTTAACTGACGTGCTGGACTCTTAGAACCAGAGAAGTCTATTACTTAAAAAAGAACGACAGTGACTCAGAAATGAACGACCTAACGTGTTTCCGCTCCCTGTGACCCCGCGTAAGGCACGGCGGGGTGTGCCCTGCCTGCACCTCACTGGTCTCGACCACTTCGCACCCTCTCATCTGCTGGAACCCCCACGTCTCATCCCACTCTGAACTAATGAGCTCTCCCTTACCTGGTGGGGCACACTGTCTGGGCTGTCCTGCCCAGGCTGGCTCTGCTTTGCCCCAGCGCCCATCCAAGGTGGCCCTCCACGCACCAAGAGTGATAAGCCCCACCTCCAGGACATGGGCCAGGTCTGGCCTCAGCCGCACCTATGACATCTCAGCTCGCAAACAATAAAGACACATGACCCTAATCCAGAGTAAGGCGGACCTAACACCCGTGACGTCGTGGGGAGACAACAGTTATGTGCTTCCTGTCCTCTATGATGGAGCAGCGTGACTCACGCTTTACAACCAACGGGAAAGTGAGATAAGATCAATGGGGCACCTCGTTTACGTGTAAGAAGTTAGAATAAATGGAAGAAACCAGATGAATCCACACAAATGGAATCTGCCGTTTCCCCCCCGAGACACCTTTGCAGCACAGCGGGTGCTTGCCTGACTCGTGCAGTGAGTGCACACGCGTGTGTCTGTTTCCATGCCCACACTGGCGATGAAATGCAGTCGTTAGGACGCAGACACCAGCACACCGGCACTGAGAGGCACACCCACTGGAGACGCTCACACTCCATATTGTAAAAAAGTGACCACTGTGAGATGTTCCTATCACCTTTGAATTACCACAGAAGCAGAGAGAAAAATTTCTTCGTAGTACTTCATGGCGGGCACAAAGGGCCCAAAGAGGGTGGAAGAGCACCTTTCCCCCGGGGCAGAAACAAAGGCACAATCAGCGTGCTGGCCCGTGGGGGCGCACACGCGTGGCTGCAGGGGGCATGCACCCTCTGCCCACTGCCCGGCATTGCCGGCTAACATCACACCATCCGCTCCGCCACAACGATGCGAAACAGGCCAGCTACGCTGGGGAGTGCAGGCCCTCCGGCTCTGGACACCAGGAACCCAGCTACAAGGAACTGGTATCAGTTCACGGGCCCCTTCCTGATGTGCCGCCCTTACGGGTCACAGCTGATGCCACTGAGGACAGCGAAGGAGTGACATGGGGCTACTGAGCAGCTTGCTAAGGACCTCGCGGTGTAGGTGGGAGAGCTGGAACCCCAGGCCTGCTCTCTCTGGGACCCCAGGTCTGCTCTCCCCAGGACTCCAGGCCTGTTCTCCCCGGGACCCCCCAGTATCCCAGGCCTGCTCTCTATAGCAAACGATCTTTTTTTTAACAAAACGGAAAACATAAACTGATCGTCTTCATGCAGCTCCCTGCTCTGCCTCGCCCCAGGCTTGTGTCCTGAGTAAAAGGGAGTGACTTACAGGTAAGTGGAGGGCAGAGAAGGGGACTGGAAGACGGGCAAAGAAGAGACTGCAGGAGCACCTTCCAGGCCAGAGTCCCAGGCCCCAGGGACATGGAGCGCCTTCTAGACATCTTGCAAAACACAACAGAGCTCTGTGTCTAGGAGTGGGAAACGGACGCTCTCTGCCCCGGGGAGCTCCGTGTCTGGGAGTGGGAAACGGACGCTCTCTGACCTTGGGAAACCCCCAGCAAAGAAAGCAATCTTCTTTGAGAGGCTCAGGCTTGCTTCATGCTTGCTCTGACTATGCTTCCAGGGTGACGACACAACTGGAGTGTGATGGGGGCCCCAGGGTGGGAGCAAGTGGCATGGCCACAGCAAGGGCTGCCTGCCCTGGAGGATGCTGGGGAGTTGGTGGCCCGGTGATGGCACTCCAGTGCCAGGCCTCCACGAGGCTGGCTTTATTCCTGATGTGGCCAGAACGGTCCCCACCCTCAGAGTTTATACCGTAGCTGCCAAGGGCAGAGGTGTTTTACAGACAAAGGGAAATGGTTCCCATGATCTCTAGACTCAGGAAACACTGCTTCAAGAATGATATTTAGACTTACTCTCTACGCAACGACAACTTTATAATCACAATGAGGGTTTTCAGCAATGAACTAAAAGATGCTAGGGAGACAGGCAACTCCACTGATTCGCTTCACCAGCGGAAGCCAGCGGCCACAGACCAGGCATGAGTGCACGCGGTCGGCGGCTGGTTAGTGGCCAGGCCACACCACGGGGGGGACACCTGTCCAGCTGGCTCCTCTCCAGCTCCCCACTGTTTCTACAGATCCCCTGTGGGTCAGGCCTGGTCATCGCAAAGGCCAGAGAGCAGGTGGTGCCTTTGGGAAGACCGTGCCCTTAGGAGGGAATGGTCACTTCTCTACTGCTGAAACTGCATCGAGCCCGCGTCGGTTTCCTCCACCAAGGACAGCCTCATCACACCAGGGAAGTGCTTCCGAATCCAACAAACCCATAAGCCACACCTCCCCTCCTCCCTCCAGTAAAGCACCCCTCAGCCCAGGCCGGCACGAGACAGACGGCTGGGGCAAGCGACTCACCCGTGCTGGGCATGTGGTTGGCGCGGGCAGGGTTCAGCAACTCCACCGGCTGGTCTCGGCCAGAAAGTCCATCTGGGAAGAGAGAAGGCACTGGCTTCAGCAACGGTGGCTTTCAACGGCAGGGCTCTGCACTGTGTCCGTGAGGAGCAGCTCCTGGCAAAGGTGGAAACGCAGGGGCCTTCCCCCCCACCGA